AAACTGCAACAAATGGGGAGAAATTAGATAGTAAAGCAGAAACTAGCTCAATGTAAGTAAGATCTTTCTATTATACTTTTTGAAAGCTAAATGGGCTTTCCTATGCCCATGAAAGAGTTTGTGGAGAAGCTAGATTCAATTACATCTCAGGGATACTAGTAGTGGGTGGCACATTGTATGAGCTGCCTTCTAAAGTTCCCTCCAAATCTAAAATTTTATGGATCAGAGTAAGGGAATAAATAGTACTCTTTTAACTTACTAAAAAAGATGAGTAGAAAGAAATTTGGGTTTAGTCAAAAAGACAAAAGTTCAGTTATAGGCTCTACTACTTAGTAATATAGGACACAGAGACAAAGTTATGCACTAAATCTGAGACTCAAATTTTTTTCAGCCTTAAATATGTAAAATAATATCTTAACTTAGAAGACTGTTGCATGAATTAAATACACACAAACACACAGAGCCTGGAACTAAGTAAGTGTTCAATACATGGTAGATATTATTCATTTATTCAATAAATATCATGTCCCAAATGGTAATATTTTCTATATCATCTATTAATTAGACGATATACTGAAATAATGACTCAGTCTCTGCTACATCTCATGTTCTTCAAACCTAAGTAATGCATGCTTGCGATTCGTTTCCACTTCTATGCTTTGTGCAATCCCTTTGTGTTTATATGTAATTTTTATGAGGTCTTCTTTAACCTTGCTTTTATTGGTTTCTTTTCCACCTTTATTTGACATAAAAGCTGGCTTTACCTGTAATACACATTGGCTATGTCATTCGTTTTGCTTAAAAAAATTTATACTGCTGCACAGTCATTTCAACTAAACTGGACAATATATCCAATTTAATTCATCACACTAGCAGACAGAGGGTTTTTATTCTCTTTATCCCTCACAGCTAACTCATTGCTGAACACATCCTTCAAGAAATCTCTGAATAAATAAATCAAAATGCATTTCACCAAGGGTAGTTGATTAGAAATCTTGGTTATTAACAAAATTTTAATGAAGAGGTCTGAGATTTCTATTAAGAGTAAACCCAATTCTTATTGAAACAGATCAACATTAAATGCTCCAGTCAATATTATCTATTCTCCAAGTATTTTTCAGATGGTATGTAATTGCTCTTTTGTTATACATCCAGAATAATGTGCAACTGTACAGATACTTTAGTTAGCAATTAAATACCATGCTGTTGGTTAGATACATAATAGACTATCACATTGTTTAACACCCAAGTGTTTAAGATAGAGACGAAAAAAAATCACCACATTTTAATTATAATAGTAACAAGTATTTTTCAGGGATGGAATTTTTTTGAGTAAAAATCATGTTGACAAGAAGCTTAAACATACATAATATTTAGTACTAGATGAGCATTATCTGATCACTATCAGATAGAACAATAAAACTAGTTCTTTTTTTTTCAGTAGCTAAAAGGGAGCAGGAAACTGATAGTTGGAACAAATAACACAAATCTCTAAGCACAGAATTTTAAAAAGCACTATAATATGGAGCATGTATGTTAATGTTTCAGGTGTAAAGTTCCCTATGCTAATGCTAAAATAGGAAACATGTAGATTATTTCCATACAAAATAATTTAGTACACAATGAAATTTACCAGTAAAATACATTTAAATATGATTAAATGTAATTCCACATACTGAATTTAATTACAGATCATTTTTTAAGTTGAAATTTAAGGGAAATGGTAAGTTCTAGAGAAAATGTCTATTAAAATGTGATGTAAAATTAAAGGATTAAAATTATAAGGTAACAAAAAAGCACTTTGTAAAATCAACCCAATAAGAAGCATTACATTAATATTTCTCAAAAGTTAAATTCTATTTTAAGTTGAAAATAATAAAATTCATTAATCATAGCAAAGTAAGCTTCATAGGTTTTTGTTATGTGGAAATTTTATTTTTAACACAGCTTATAGAGTTGATCATACCGTTATAAAATACTACCGAATTTCAAGAAATAATATTAAAATATGGTTACCAGTAAGTAGTAGGGAAAACATTCCAACAGTTTGTTCCTATGAAAGGCACATGTTAAGGCATCTTTCCTTATGTAGTAAGATACTTTATAAAACTAAAGCTCCATTTCAGTAGAAATATTACATCACAAAAACAAGGACTAGATTAATACAATTGTGAGAATCACGTTCACTGACAGTCACAGAAAATTCAAAGAGCACGTAGAGAGAAGCTTTCCATAAATTTTCACAAGGTAGGAGGACTAGGGGACACAGGAAAGACTGCTCTTCAGAATGGACCTAGCTTTATTTGGCTATGCCTCCCATTAGCAGTTTGGCTTGGGCAGACAAGTCAGTTAACTTTCCAAGTTTTAGTGTCTTCCTGTGTCTCTGTCAGTGCACTTAGACTTTTCCATTTTCTACACTACCTATGAAGTTAGGAAGAGCTAAAAGCATCACTGGTTTTACTTTTTTAAAAAAAATGGCAGAAAAATACAAAATGGTTTTTAACTTGCTATTCATCAATGTACTATTTCCATAGCCTAATTCTCAAGTCTTTGAAGCACACCCAGTTAGGGTTGTACCATGTAAAGATTTAGATACTGTAATCATAATGTAACTCTGTCTTCTCACATTATTCCTCCACCTGCTCCTCCCCATCCTGCTTCATTCTCTCTTCTGCTTGTTTTAAGCAGACGGGCCAAGAAACGGTTTTAAGCATTGTTAAGTTTAAGGATCAAATCATTTTAAAAGATGCATTTTCAATCAAATGCATCATCTGCTTCAAATTCCTCCCAAATGGCTGAATTTTCATTAAAAGAACAAAAATGAATAAACAACTTCAAAAAAAAAAAAAAGAAAGAAATATACCAGGCCTATTATTAATATTTCTGCTTTGTTTATTTAGACTGCTTACAAAAATAAAACAGAAAGATGCATCCTAATCTATTCCCTTAGGAACATGAATGCATTACCCACCCAATGAAAAAAACAATTCTGCTGGTTCATTTCCCTGCTACACAACAGCTTCGTTGTCAGGCCCTTCCTAACCCAGCCTTCATCGTCACCAAATAATTTCACATTGACCACCTTGGCAGTGCTTGGACTTCAGCAGGCATGGTCCCTGTCTTCCTTACATTCTTCAAAAAAAATAGGTAAAACTCTGTTAAACACCACAAAACAGAGATTATGTGATTTAGGATACAAATCCCACCTCTTCCCGCCCTGCGTTAGGCAGCTGCTGATGTTTATTTTTCCCCTTTCATGAAATGGAAGGGAACCATACCAAAACCCTACATTTGAATCTTAGGACAATGAAGGCGACAGGAAGCCACTCTCCTCTCCCGGGTTTACTACGGAGCCAGAGCCTGCGCGGGGTGCAGTCGCCTGGCAGGGTGCGTGACACCACGTCTTCCACGCCCTCCCAACGCGTCCAAAAGGATCCTCGCCTGACCTCCCCCAACGGCCCCACACCCCAAAACCAACCACACAAAAGGGATCGGCCCTAGTTGGTAGCTGCTCCAATCGGGGAAAAATCCCTTCCCCCGCGGCAGCGCAGCCATTCCCTCCAATGCTCCGCCCGCACCCCTCAAACTGCCACGGCGGAGAGGGGAGGGCTGCACAAAGCCCGGAGAGAACTGAAAATGATTCAATACACTGAGGGGAAGCGGAGGCGGCGGCAATGGCCCGGGAAGGCCCGGGGGCCGCGGGACTGGAAGGCCGGGGAGCGGCGGGTGGGGGATGGGAGGGGAGGGCCCGCCCCGCAGAGCCCCGGGTCCTGGGCAGAGAAGGGGGGTGGCGGCGCCGCGCGGAGCATCCGGGAAGCGCCCCCTTCGTTGCCCAGCCCCGCACCCCCGCCCCGCTACGGGCCGCGCCTCGAGTCTCCGCCACAAACCTAAGGAGGAGGAGGAGGAGAAAGATGAGGAAAGGCGGCGGCGGCGGCATCGGCAGAGCCTACCGCGACCAGCTGAGCGCATCACTTACCCCTCACCGTGGAGAGAGGGACCGGACGGAGGAGGCGGGGCGCGTCGCGTCCCGTGAGTCTCTCGCACGCCGTGCTTCCCCCACCCCGTTGTGGTTGTTGCCGCTGTTGTCGGCGCTGCCGCTGCGGTCGAGCTCCGGGGCCCTCGACTCCGCTGGGCAGTAACGTTATTCCACACACGCCCCACACATAGCGGTAACGGCAAAGAGCGGCTGCCTAGTGCGCAGGCGCCTTGGCAAAGGGCGAGGAGCCGGGCCCTCTCCCCTCCTCCCGCCCAGGCTCAACGATCTCTTACTGCGCAGGCGCCAATCACAGACAATGAAAAGGGGTTGTGCGAAGGGTCTCTCCCACACGCTCTGCCAGCTGCCCACTGCGCAGGCGTTCCTCCAAAGACCAGTTCAAACAATGAAGAGGACCCTGGCATTAGCCGGGACCGCAGCCAGCAAGGACTACAGCTCCCAGCGGGCAGTGCGCCAACTCCAAGTGGAAGTGGCGGTGGTGGGCATGCTAGGAGTTGTACAGGGGGCCGCCTTGACAATCTAGGCTTTTAGGAAGATTTAGAACTTCTTTTCCTTGAGGATTTATTTGACCGTTTTGACGAACGTAGCAACTGAAACAACATTCAGAGTTTTATCATTTGCGTCCCTGAGTAGCCGCAAGAGTCAACTGCGTATTCGCAAATTTCCAAGCGTCAAGGCCTTCAGTGAGCACTTTCTGTCAGCTGGGTGGTCCAGGCAGCAGCACGATGGGATGAAGGCGGTCCTAAGCGAGGCGGGGCTAGATGAAAAGGGCGGAACCTCCAGGCCTGTCTCTTGGCAACCGGCTCTGGCAGCCAAACCGCCAGGCTAGCGCCGGGAGCGTGATTACTTTTGGGAGTCGTAGTGTAGCTGGAACGCTCTTAGGGTTCTCGAGCTGGCAGGCTCTAAACCTGCGGACTACAACTCCCGACGTCCACCAGGAGAGCCAGTGTGTGGGAAGAGCCCCCTTCCCCCGCTCAGTCCGGGGTTCCAGGCTCCCCAGTGACAGCGGCGGCAGGAAGCAGGCGGAAGCTCCTCCTGCCTTAAGCCTGTTGTTCTTGGAGGGGAGGACGCTGGACATTTCCTCACGTAACTCCCATCTCTGGGCCCAGCGTCTGTGCATGGCGAATTCCCCAGGGAACTCTACCCTGGAGGAGATTCTGGGGCAATATCAACGGAGTCTCCGGGGTGAGTTGCTCCGAACCTCTGTGCCTTAGCCCCTAGGTACCTAGGGCCTAGTGGGCGGGATCCGACCAGGTGCGTTTCCTAGCACCTCGGTTTGGCCCCAGCCAGGCTACAGAGGAAGAAGATGGATGTTGCTGTGATCTTTGAGGAGAATGAAATAGTTTGATTTTGTTTTTAAGGTTAAGCAGCGTTGTTTCTTTAGATTCCTGTAGTTACCTGAACCAACTCCCTGATCTTAAGTTGGGCATCTTTCTCAACCAGCGCCAGCAGAAACTCTTGGATGACTCTATGCCACTTTTGCCAGTTCCCATACTTTGCCGTTTAACCCAATAAATGCCTAATTCACGCTTTTTACACATTCAAATTATAGTGTAGTAGATTGAATGTGATCTTTAGGACCAGGAAAAAAAAACACTAGTAATTATTTTAATCACAACAGCTTCTATTATTGGTCTAGGCTGTTTACTTACATACAGTAAATCATTTAAAACTTACAACAATCTTATGAATATGTCTGTTTCACACATGGGGAAATCAAAGATCAGAGAGGTTAAATTTCAGGCTATAGCCCACACAGCTGGTTAGTGGCAGAGCCAGGTAGATCAGGCCTGTCTGCCTTCAAAGCCTATGTTTTTCTTTATTAATCAAGTCATAATTACTACTACTACTATTGAAACCTTATTTAGCTAATTCAAATTTTCTTAGTACAATACCCTAAGAGTGACTATCTGTAGATGTGATGTTGGCACTTAAGAGATGGCTGTGCCACCTTGTACAACATATATAACCTCTAGAAATTTTAGTTCTATTATAGTGGAAATTATGGAATGTCTACACAGTTATTCTGAGGAGCAAATAAAATAATCCTCATAAGGCAGTGATTTTCAGGCTTTTAAAATTGATATCTATAATAAATACATTTATATGGGGCATATATGTACAAATAAACTAAAAGAAAATTTTCACTGAAGAATTTTTAGTCTATTAAATGAAATACATTCTATTTTCTATTCTGTTGCATTTTCATAACCCTCTAGGTCATGACCATTTAAAATATTTAAAACAGTAATTTATACTGCAAATATTAATTCAGTGCCTACTATTAGTTAAGCACACTAGTTGCTGGGGATGCAATAAAGAACAAGATAAATTTCCTGTCCCCATGGAGCCTCTGGATTAGTGGTGGAGAAAGACAATAGACAAAATAATTGCAGATTAGTATGATAGAAAATAAGGGTAAAGATCAGTGCTCGGCACATAAGCACTCATTAAATATTAGCTGCTATTTATTCTTGTTACTTTCAGCAAAGTGAAAGTTTTTCAAGATTAGAAAATTTATCTTCTCATGACTCTAGACTTTGTAAGGGTTATTATTTATTGTGTACATTTGTCAATAGTGTTACAAACTGTCAACATTCTCAGTATTCAGACTGTGGGAGTAAATGAATTGGTCTTAACAATCAGCCTACTCATGATGTTTCAAGACTTGTTAGATACAGAAATAACCACTTCTACTTTTCATTTGGAAGCAAGAAAAATACTGTGCATAATGATATAAGTGATTCCGTTTAATTTTTGAGATTGGCAAACATTTTTTGTTTTTATTACAAGTGTATCTTAATGCTCCTCTTTCTTTGATCTTATTTTGAGCCTTTATGTAAGGGCTGGAAGCTATTTAATATTAGACATTTTGATTCAGTAAAGGGGTTAATTTCAAACTAATGTGTAATATGTTTAATAACAACAGTACTGCTTTCAGTAATTACAGAATGAAGAGTTTTCATTCAAAGGTAATATATCTTATTTTTTTTTTATTTTTATAGTTTTTTTAGAGACAAGGTTCTGCTTTGCTGCCCAGGCTGGAGAACAGTGGTGTGATCATAGCTCACTACAGCCTTGAACTTCTGGGCTCAAGTGATCCTCCTGCTTCAGCCTCCTGAGTAGCTGGGATTATAGGCACAAGCTACAATGTCCAGCCAAAGATAATACATTTTTAAATTAATTTAAAATAAAATTTAAGTTTAGTGTGATAACAATATAACATGGTAGAATCATTTCTCCAAGACCAAACATAGGGATAGAAAAAAATTAAACAATTTTTTAAAAAATTTTTAATCGTAATTTCAAAAATGAATCAAGAAATGGAGCTTGAAATTTTTCTTGGATTTTCAGGGCATATTGTCTATTTAGTAGCATTTTTATTTTTATATGTTAATTTATCTAACAGCTTCTGGAAGGAAACAAAACAGAATTAATCCTGAACTTAAGTATAATCAGAAATTCTTAACTTCACAAATATAAATTACCACTTTTAAATAGGATAATCCCCTTTAAAGTAAAATTTTGTGTTTCTAAATAAAGTATGGTAGAGTTATTTTATATGTGGATCTTCTTTGAGTGTTTGTGCCTAAAAATTTAAGAATTATGTTACTAGACAGTCAGATAAAATGCAATTTAAAATTCTTTGTCTTATTTTGTTTTGGTTTTGTTGGTTTGTTTGGTTTTGTCTATCCACCATTACTTCCCCCAAATATCTTGCCTAGTTCATGCTTAATGAAACGCTAATAAACAGTCTTGGCCTTTCTTCACCACTTATTTCTCTAGTTTTAAAATAATTATACATGTAATCATTACTAACATCCCTTTATTTATATTCAACCAGGAAATAGCCATTTAAAAATGCAAAATGCTTTCACAATTTTGCGTGATAGTGCCTTCATTTTTTAAATGTCTTTTCTTTATTTCTTTACTTTAAATATAATTTTGGTACTGTTATAGTACATTAAGAATTTGAAGTTCTGATGTGAAAACTTACTTAAAGTTTACTTTCTTGCTTTTAAAACTTGAGTGGAATCCTTGCCTCTCCTTGCCTCTGATAATCCAGCCATGGAAATAGGAAGCCCATTTGCCCATTCACCTTTCATCCTTTCCCTTGCACTTTTCAGTTGTATTTGTTGTTTGACTTCTCTACAGATATCTCTCGCTTTGGGTTGCCTGTTCTCCCTTTGCAAGAAAGTAAAAAGGTTTAATGACTTTCCTTCAAAACGAGAGTTCTACAGAAAAATTGCAAGACTTTCTTGCCCCACAGATCTGTAATATTATTCCTACACAGTAGATGGTCTGAAAGTTTACAGTGTAGTAAAAAATGGGCATATCTTGGGTGTGATGAACGTCACAGAGTGTAATCTAGAACTGGAAATAATTTGGGAGGTCTCCTGGCAGTATAGTTAGGTGTTCATTTAGTCTATAGGTAGCTATAATTCAAGACCCACAAAATGGCAGAGAAATATTTGTAACTAGGGAGAATAACAAATGCCCCTCCTCTAATTTAAATTCAATGTATCATTGTATAAGACCATGAGGTATAAAATAAACTAGTTTGTAGCCAAACAAGGATAAGAAAAGCTAGAATAAAAGACAATCAGGCTCTGGTTTAAGTTCTGCACACTTGATTGTAGGAATATGTTATTAGAAAGGATAGAAATTGCTAGAAATGCATGTTCTAGCCTTAACAGAATCATGTCTCATCTATTGCTGCAATATTGGGAATGGATATGGGTTTGTCAACAATATCTATATACATGACTCACCTATTCACCTAGTTCCTAGCCACTTTTCATTGGGTGGGCATAAAGAAAAATGAAACAAATTTGTATTATGACAGGAACACATAATTTCTTTTTTATATACATTTTGTATGCTGGTTTTCTCCTTTTCTTGAAACATTTTGATGTTTCAGACTCTAGATGAATTTGTGGAGAACAGTGTGATAGAGTCAGGTGAGAATGTGGAACTAGGAGCCAGTTCACTGAACTTACTGTTGCTTTGTTGATAACTGTCTGTGTGACCTTAGGCAAATTAATAAACTATTCTTGAATTCTGTTTCTCCATCTGTAAAATGAAACATTTGGACTAAATGTGAGAATTATTGCCTTTAGCAGCCAAACTGATGACAAAACGTGATAAAGTCAGAAGACACTAGGGAATGATGAGGCTTATGGCCAAACAGGGCAGTTTATGCTTTTTCTAAAAACATTTTAATTTCTTACTCTCTCCCTCTTCCTTCCCTTTTTTTTCCCTTCTTTTTCTCCCTTCCTCCGTCCCACTCTTTCTGAGAAGAGAGCTTGGCAAAACACACTCAGAGCTTGATTCCTGCTTCAGATACCACCACTAACTGACCCCCTGGATCACTAACGTTCCTTCCATCAACATTAGTTGGATGACATGAATGATAAAGACTGTGTTAGACTGTGTTTCTATAATATAGAAATGAGAATAAGGAGTCTAACTAGTTACGTAGAAGATGAGAGGGTGATTATGGGAAGAAATTATATAATCTTGGATATGATCATTTTCTTTGTAATTGATCTAGTTCAAGAAAACCAAAGATAATATTGATTCTGTGTTTTACTTGTATACAATTGGCACATCTCTCCAGATCCTACAAAGTGTTTTTCTCTTGCCAGGAAAGAATTCACATCTGTAAAAGGGCTGTGTTAATCCTACTAGCCAATAATTTGGTCAGTGTATTAGCCAGCAGTGATATCATCTGGACCTTTGGCAGACTTAAGAGAACATGTGTGTAACTTAAATAAAAGTTTTATTTTTCTCAGATTTTCTCATAAAACTTGTATTTCTTCATCCTTTTTGTTTCCTCAAATGTTTTCTGGATTTTTAAATATTCTTTGCCATATACAGTATATATGCATATACACATAAACATCAGGAGATTTTTGCTAATAAAGTTTAAATTGTATCTATTCTTTTTTTGTTTTATTTACTCATATGGCTTTTCTTAGTAGTTTTAACTTTTATGCCTTTTTCTTTTACTAGCATAAAAAAGTACAATCTCAATTTTTCTTTCCTACAACTGATGAGATAAAAGAGACAAAAGACAGAATTTAGCAGCCAGAAAAGAATATTTTACAAGTAAATGGTCATACCAGGAATAATCTAGAACTAAAACTATAGTTCGGTATTAGGAAATTGTAAGGGCACTTTCACATGTTCTTGGCCACAAAAGGGCATGGATTAAGTTGTTCTCAAGCTATTGAGGCAATGAGAATAATTATGTTCTCTCTTGGGGTGTTTAAACACTTAAGCTCCAATCACATCACCAGTTTGTGCTAAGGTTTTCACCTTTTTACTTGGTGATAACTCTTCTCAGAGTTCAAAGGTAGAGCAGGTAGCTTGAAATGCACTTGTGCACATGCTAAAGCAAGTTATGGTGGAACTTCATCAAAGCGCACTGGAATATTTGAAGGAATGGCCTTAGGGCAAATATTGCTTCGTGTTTTAGGCCTTGAAACAAAATTAAGCTAAATATGAACTCCAAGTTCTTGCTTACAATGGATATAACACCTATTCCTGACACCTGTATCAGAAGTGTCCCATCATGTCAGTGAAAGTCTTGGGTCGTGCCCGCCCATCACCGCTATTGTGACAGAACAGCTCACCATCATGCTCATTTTTCATCGAGAGGACACATTTACGGTGTAGTAATGTGATCAATGTGATAGGAAGTTGCTCCTCAAGACTGAACACTATCTATCTTGCTTTGTTGATCTAAACCAGCAGTTCCCAGCCAGGGTGTTTTTTCTGCCAAGGAGATGTTTGGAAATGTCTAGAGACATTTTTGATTGTCATAGTTGGGGGTAGAAGGGAGTGCTACTGGCATCTAGTAAGTGGAAGCCAGGGATGCTGCTAAACTTGCAAAACACGGCCCCTTACAACAGAGAATTATCAGGTCCAAAATGTCAATATTGCTGAGGTTGAGAAACCATGACCTAGAAGTAGCAAGGCTTTGCTCATTGCCCTTGCTCTGCAAGAATCATACTTCAGAGTAATTACATTTAAGGATACACAGATTATATTTGCTGATGATTCTACTTACGTTCTTCTGCTAGCTTGGCTAGGATTACTTCTTTATCAGTGGAAAGTGATAGGTGCATAAGTCTTCTCAGTGCCAAAGAAATACCAGATGTATTTCTCAGAATGCATATAGCCAATCTCCTGAATTTGCCGACACCCATACATCATTAATCATCTTCCAGATACTGCTTTCTTAAGATGTTTACATTCTTGATCGGATTATCTTTTACTCCTGGTGCCAACCACTTTAGCACGTTTTCCAGCTATTAGAATCTTAGGATAGTATTTTCTTTGAGATGTTTTTATTTCTGCATAGTACTTTTAATCTCTTTCAATATTGTAATTGCCATTTACAAAGCGGGCTTTGTCTCATTTTGGATTACGCTGTTTTTATCTTGGTTGTGCTACCTGTTAGTCCCCTAGTAAACAGTGACAGCAATCTTCTAAACTAGGCTGAGGCCCAGTCAAGTGTGGACAGACACATGTATCTCTTATCTCACTGTGGTTTCGTTTTTCTGCTTGTCTGCCCCAGTCTAAGCTTGCGTTGGGAGCTTGCAGTGCATATCTTGTCTCAGACTAGGGAGGTATGGTTCATTTCATATTTTCTCAGAGACAGCTGAGTGCTTCACAGGGAGTGGTCCCCCTCCCTGTTACCAGGGCAATTCTCTTTCACATCTCCCAGGACAGATGGAGAATGTAGAAATTAATAATTCACAGTATGTTTATAAGCGGTGATCCTTCCTAAACTGAGACATACTTGCATTTTGTTCAAAAACATGTTGACATCTTGATGAAGAGAGGCCCAGTGGTGAGCTAGGAGTTAGAACCTAGGGAGTAGAGAAACTGGACTAAGAAAATGAACAAGACAGACTTAAATTTGTCAGCAGTCATCAGCTCAAAAACCTTTTAAGTGCTCATTGTACTGAATGATGTCTGCTTAGTGGACTAGCAGAGATATTATTTACTTGCATTTATGTTCATGTGATCTGTAGGACTCAGAGGTCCCATTTTTGTTTGTATTCATAATTATTATTCAGTTCGTGGTTGGTGCTGGAGAAAAGACATCAGGATGCATTGTGAAATACCCTTACTGTCCTCTCAGGAGAGAAGAGGAAATTAGTGTTCTTTCTGTCTCTGAGTTAGAGACAGATAAAGCTGTGTCCTATTAGCAATGGAATAGGAAATGATAACTGGAATCTCCTGTCTAACCTGATTTCTTTAAGTGTAAGAAGTAGACAACTGCATCTGGAGAATAATGTTCTTAATAAGACTTATGGAGGCTTCAGTTGCAAAGGCTCCAGTTGAAGAGAGATGGGATTTCATCTGTCTTGAATCATCTGAGTGGTGTTATTCCTCAAGATTAACCCTGTTTGTTACAGTGTATAATTATGTTGCTCTGTATATATTTGAAAGCGCTTAGCGTGTTTTGAAATGTAGCATTGAAATGTCTTCAAAATATCACTTACCTTCTTAGTTTTAGTTTTAGGACGTGGTCCTTGCAAATTCCTTCTGTTCCTTTCTGACTCTAATAACTCTGAAGTCAGTAGTTGCAAAAAAACAAAACAAAACAAAACAAAAAGTGTTTATCACTTTTCTATGGGGATAGTTGTTGAATTCAATATCTCAGTATTTTACATAATATTATTTTCATAGTACAATTTAACATGTAGTCTTTGAATGTTACGAATTCTAAAAGATTACACAAGAATATTAGAAAAGGTATTAAGAGAGCTCTTAATATCCTGCGATCATTGTAATCTGATGAAAGAACTCTACCCATAGGGATTTTTAACAGTGCAATTTTTTTTAGACTTCCTTTTTCCTGATATAGCTTATTAGCTTTTACTGAGACTAGATAAATAAATAATTAGCCTTCATTTTAGAGGTGAAGTCATTTGAGAGTTCCGTGGAACACACTTTTATGTTATTCAAACCCTCTGTTTCCTTTTTAATGGATGCAGTAAAGATAAGTGCTTTAGTCATAGATTTAAGGGCATACATCTAAAGCTGTGAACTAAATTGCTTATGTAACACTTTGATTTTCCTTTTCCATTAACAAGTCTCTTTAGACAATACTAAATTATCAGACAACTATTACTGCTCTTTATATTGCTAAAACCAGGAATGGTTTTAGACTTTCTTAAACTCATGATGAGTAAGAGGAGTCCAGGCTTGGTTAGTAATCAGCACCAAATTCGTCTCAAAGAATGATCTGTGTGGAAATAGGATTGGTATGGAGAAAAATGCAGTGATAAGTTCACTGAGTCTCTTGTGGAGTTGAGTAATAGAATTTCATTGTTGAACTCTGACCTGAAAGACCAGTTCTCTTAAGTTTAATGAGGTAGAAAATGAGTTGCTGTAAGTAAAGGAACTGTATTAGATATTTTGTAACATAGGATATTTTCTTTCTATAAAGTAATGTGGTTATTTTTTTCTGTTTCAAACTTAGAAAAAATGGAAACTGTTTTTCAAGGTCCTGTAGAATGTATGTTTTTAACACATGCACTGCCACACTAGAAAAAAAAATTTTTCCTTGGGGCCATGGTGTTTTATTACAAAAATAGAATAAAAACTTCAAAAACAAAACAATCCTTTCTAATTTAATAAAAATTTGTTCTTTTTTATTGTTTTCTGTGTGTGAACTATATGCAACTTGAAAAATAGTTCTCACAGATCCCAAAGTAAAGAGACGTATGAGTTATGTATGCTTCACAAGGCCCCAGGTTCAAAACTAGTGTGAGTTAAATACAACTCACATGGCAGTTCATATGTTAAATATATTTTCATACATGATTGGTAATGATTCAACTCTTTCATGCCATTGCAGTTACATGGCCTGTGGCTCTGGAGTCCTCTGGAGGCTACACTGGACTGGTGGAGGGCAGGGGTGGAGGGGGGTGGGCTTCTCTCTTTCTCCATGTGGTCCCAGGGCCGTTCCTCTCCACATAGCCTCTTTACAGGTCTCTCCAGCAGGGTAGCAGACTTTTACATAGTGGTTTAGGACTCCCAAGAACAAGCATTCCAAGAGAGAGGAAGCAGAAACTGCCAGTCCTTTTAAAGATGAGGCCAAGATCTAGCATGGTGTAGCTTCCAGTGGTTCCAATAGAATGCTGTTGGTTAATGTTAAGTGCATTAATCAATGAACTTGGTTAATGCAGGCCCACTCAGTTTCAAATTAGAAGAGGACAAGGGCCTGAAGCTGGGCTCTTTGGGGCTATTTTTAGAGATGAACTATTACAGCAATATGCCTTAAAATACTTCATTTTAAACAGTTTATGTTATGTGTGTGCTAGTTGAAGTTTCAATTCTAGGGATGGTCAGTTGTACTAACCACGAATCTATATATGAGGTATAGTTAGCCAGCAGTATATAAAAAGGATTGTACTATAGTAGCTGTCACTATAAGCACATCAGATATTCAAGTTTTGATCAAAACTAGGCCAGGCAATTGGATGTCTCTTGGTGGAGGAGAGGAGGAATGTCCTGTCCCCAGGGCCAATAAGGCTTCCCTAGGTCAGAGCTTGGTGTGACTGAGTCTCTCTTACTTACACTCCAGTGTTTCCAGTAGGGGAGGCTGAGGTACTGAGGGGAAGGAAAGCCTTTCCTATGTTAGCTATTGTTTGAGAGGGCTGGTGAGGGGAGCTCTACCATTTAATCCTCCTTGCTGGCAGTGCTATATATAGTGAATATCAACCACTGCAGTGACAGGGACCTTAGAGATCATAAAGTCTCACCACTAATCCATGAACTTAATCCTCTCTCTTCCTCTGGCACATTCCTCAGCAAGCTAGAAACAGAACTCTGCTTTTTTCCCACAAAGTACCAGAAATAATGGATTCTCCTTTAGAGACTGCCTTCTTGAGCAAGTGTCGATGTGCTCACCCATCCTTGGCCCTGACTTTCATCAGGTTGTTGTTGCAGAACGTGCCAATAGAAGCATTCACCAACTGAAAGGTGCCCTAAAAGAAGGTGATGTCACCATTGGAGAGGATACACTGGATCCTTCTTGTACCGCCAGTATGGGAAATGAGGGCCCTGAGATGGCCTGGCATGAACTACAACACAGCCATGCTGGTGAGTGTCAATGTCAGTCTTAGCCTGAATGACGCATAATGAATTTTTTAAATTCCATAGAATAATGACTCCATTTCATCCTCCAGTCTGCTGCTAGGATGTTATTCCTGAAACACAAATCAGATAATATAATTCCCCTGCTTAATTTTTTTTTTTACTTCCCAATGCTTATAGACTGAAGTACAAAATCCTTAGTAAGAGATAATAATATTTTCCTAAGATAGCTCCAGCCTACTACTCTAGCGTCAGTTTTCTATCCTTCTCATCCTAACCATCCATCTTACGAACCACATTCTAGTCATACCAACCTCCTGGCCATGCTTCTGTGCCTTTATGTGAGCAAAGCCTCCTGATGGGAATTTTTCTCACCCTTTTCTGCTTGGTGAACTCCTGTTCATCGTTATGGTGTTATCTCCTCTGTGAAAACAGGCACAGTTAGGTGCTTCCTATTCTCGTAGCAGTAAGCAAAGCTCTAGATCTACATACATACTTATTGTTTTATATCTATTAGTGTCTTTTGCTCACTGCCTTCTTAGCTCTTATAGGGTAGAGATTTTTTTGTTTGTCTTTCTATCCCCAGTCAATAGCACTGCTATTGATGCATAACATATATTTCAGCAATTTTTGTTGGAGAGATAGAAAGATGGAAGGGTGATAATAAACCATGGATCTCAAATAAGGTTAATAAACCCATTGCTTTTGCTCTGTAGTTAATCAGCTCAAAGCTTTGTTGCGCCAACAAGCAACTAAGGAAAGTGAGGTATCTCCATCAGGAAGGCGGAAAATGTCCCCTTTGGTAAGTACCAACTTTTGCAACCTGACAAAATATATTAGTTTCCTAACTGTTTTACTTTACAATGTCATTTTAGTAGTGCATGTTATAGACAAATTATAAGTAGAGCCTGCTAATTGTGTAAAGCATTAAAAGAAATTCTCTTCTGTCTGATTATTTTGGCTGAAAAGAGATTTCCATGGCAGAGGGAATCTTGATAATTTTAATTTATTACTAACTTGAAAAATGAGAGCAAGAAAACAGTTTGAAAAATTTATTTTGCAACTGTTAGCAAATATATAAAAGAAACAATATATATAAAAGATAATGTTTTAGTAATATCTTTTTTACAAGGTCATATCTATATTTGATCAGTTTTAGAAGTTACTTGATTATAATTCTAGCCCTCCTTTGCAATACTTTATTTTGAATGTCAAAATTGAAGTATGTAATATTCTACATGTTAAAATATATAGTTATAAAGTGGTATGATATATAAAAAGTAATACTCTAGTTCTTCTGAGGTTGTATTTTTATTGCTTTGACAGAGTGTATTTTTCCATATTGCAGCATTTTATATGCTAAAGGCTGTGACAGATTGAGGGAAAGAACTCTGGACCAGGTTTAAATGGCCAAAATAGTAGACAAGGCCTTAGGTCTATCTAGGGTCTATCACATGTTCTCTAACAGGATATTGTGCCTATTTCACAGAGTTTTTGCAATAATAAGGTAAGATTACATACTTAAAATTCTTTAGAAATCTATTAAGTATGGCACAAATATAATGTGTCAAAGCAGCACTAACCACCTTGCATTTTCAGTATGTATGATAGTTGATTACAAAGCCTACATGTGGAAACTGTGGAGACATGTCACTTTCTTTTATTCACAGCTTAAATGCAATGATAGTACCCCCACATTAACACTTTATTCCATCATGACACATACTTTTATGCTTAATTCTCACTTTAGAAAAATGTACTTCATATGCATATTCAATATTTATAGATATAGATTTTAATTTTAATAAAACATTTCATCATTTAATGAATTTATTATTGACATTCTGGTTTCTAAAATGCTCTTAAGTACAAACTGGGTGGAATGTTTTTAAGTCTATTCAGTGGTCCTCAACCTTTTTGGTATCAGGGACCGGTTTCATGGAAGATAATTTTTCCACAGATGGGTGGGGGTAGGCAGGGGGGGCAGAGCTCAGGCTGTGACACTCACCTCCTGCTGTGAGGCCCCCCACCACGGTTCCTAAGTTTCATGGAAGACAGTTTTTCCACAGATGGCCTGGGTGTGGTGGTCGGGGGGGGTCATGCAGAGCTCTGCAGCCCAGTCCATAACAGGCCGAGGCCCAGGGGTTGGGGACCGCAGTATGAAGTTGCTGTATCTGTTGAATGCTCAGACTTGCTTATTAGCTTTTTAAAAACTAAACAGTGATATTATGGAGCTTATTGGATCAATATAGGCAGGAAGACCTTCTTCAAGAGCATCAGTTTAGTATATACAAAGTATACTTTATACAAGTCTAGTCGCATGGAGCTATGTAAAAGAGTGGAACTTAGACTCTAACTGTATATAGCTTACATGTAATAATTATAAGCCATAACAATAATAATAATAATTACCTTTTTAAAATTATTCTCTTAAAATGCACTTTGACAGCCAATATGACATATCAGAGATATGTGGAATATTTAGAGTGAAACTGAGGCACCATTGAGATGGAAAATATATCTAGGGATTAACTTATTATTTTAAAAGGTAGATACCCAAAATATAATAAGCCCTTCAAAGTATACGCAACTGATTTCATGTGAACATTTTTTCACACAGTGTTAGCTTGAGTTTTTTTATTTTTCATGTTGACTTACTCTTGTAAGTCAATAGGGAATATTATTACTACGAGTGGCTACAGTAATAATTTGTATTTGCCTACCTTCTGGACCCATTTCTACTGATGTAAAATGATTATAATTAATTGATTTCTACTCACCAAAGATAATTCATTTAATTAAAGTTACTTTGGTTTTTAAATTTCTTAAATATGCCAAAAAGCAGAGCTCTATTTAATTATGCTGACCTAAAAGCTTCATGATTGTTTAGAACTTCTGCTGGGCTGAGAAAGCAAATGACTGAGAAACAAAGACTATGTCTTATCTCAAGCTTTCCTCTGGATTTGTTTAATTAGTTGACCCTCATTTTCCCTTTTTCTGATTTCCTCATCTTTTTCAAAAAATAATCATGGTGGGATTTATGATTTTATAAACCATTTTTTTTAAATGTTATGTTATGGTATATGATTTTATAAACCATTTCACAATCATTTTCAGGTAAGGTAAGACATACATTAAAAGTCAGTTCCAGGAATGCTCCAGAGCTAAATAGCATTAGCAGTTTTTCTGAAATCTCTTCAGCAGACTCCTCAGTGCACTCTAGCTCTGCTTTAGGGCTCTAGTCTTAAAGGTTCTATGCTCCAGAGCAGCATATTCTTGGATTTGCCTTGAATACTAGGGTCAAAATAAAAAACTACATTTTGCAAATGTACCCTTTTAGAGATGGAATTTTACCTCATTGACACACGCTTGACATTAAATACTTTTCTAAAGGATCTGTTCTTTGAGGAGCTGATTTTCTGTTTTGCTGGCAATCCTCTTCCATGGCAGTTTCTTGGAGAGAGTTGTTCCTTGTATCTCAGCATTACTCAATGGAATGTCACATTTTCAGATAGTTTGAATAGGCAGTTCATTCCAAGTCACTGACATTACTCCAGCATTTTCCCATTTGCTATGTGCTTTTTATAACCACTTTCACTGTCCATCTTTAAGAAATGATATTCATATCCCAGAATCTTGTATATTGGTGGAATTTATAGGACAGAGAAATAAATACTATTAGCTACATTGTGATCTATTCTATGTTTATATCACAACAGTGCTAAATGGAGTATGGAGAAGGTACCAACTGATTCTTTGCTAAATGAAAGCACGATTAATTTGGCTTTTTCCCGTAGGAGTCATCAGAACATGAGGAAACCAATATGCCTACTGTGCACAACCTTGTTCCTATTATTAATGACCAGTCTCAATATATTCATCATTTAGAGGCCGAAGTCAAGTTCTGCAAGGTAAGTTTCTCATTAAGAACTTAAACCTAAATAAAATTAAAGTCTATATTAATTATACCTTGTATAAAAATTTGCTATTGTTAGTCTTCATATTTGTAGTGATACATTGACAATTGTTATTCTCATATGATTGAAAGACTGATGTGTTACAGGAGCTTGTCAGACTTGGGAATGATATCCTTGACCGTGATGGCATGATTGCTTGATTTCCCAGTAGTCCATTACTATGTCTAATAATTCATAATATGCTTTCATGTTTTAGAATTTTTTCCTTCCTACCCCATTTACTTTATTTAGCCCAGTAGATGGCAAATGCTTTGGAATACAAATACCAGTCATTCTCCCACATTTGTTAACCTATTGGAGCTGTGGCACAATTATCAGAGTTTCTAAACTGGAAGACCAGATCTTCTCCATTTTCAGTATTAAGGCTCTGACCTTGACTTTGAATGATAAGAATGGTTCATAGGTTATTATTGATATTAATAATCAAGAAACCAAATACATCACCTGTAGCTTGTGATAGTGGGAGATTATGCACTGAACTGTATGCAGTTTACTCATGTCATTAATGCCATTAGAGCCTTTCTGCCTTCCCAAAGTATGTCAGTGTTTTGGTCTTTCTTTTTTTTTCTCCCTTCCTCCCTCCCTCTCTTCCTTCCTTCCTTCCTGTATCAGTGTATCAGATCATGTGATATTTTTATAGGAATTACTGGTATCTTTTGTATCATATATTATATTTTTAACATTGTGGGTACTCTTTTAAGGTACAAGGCTAGCATGTAACTTAGGGAGCCTTTAGATGTTTCATTGTCATGATTTTATGAGGGAGTCCCTGATCTTAACTGGTGGTTTTCTGTTTTTTTCTTAGAAGATACAGTTATTAATATATAGGTATTCTTGGATTACCAGTAAAACTGAAAACAGTTCCATTAATAAGAATCTATTAATCCCTAAGATGCTACAGATAAAACTTAAAAGATATAAAGCAGAATAACTTCACAATTTAGTTGAGAAGACAGACTATTACCTAAGAGCAGCACAATAGAGAATAGAGTGTAGGCATTTACTCCGTGGTATAAACCATAATAAGAGGAGAAGGTGATGGAAAGCTAGTGTTCTGGGGGATGTTTTTATGGGAGAGGAAAATCTTAAACCACTCTTAAAGGAATATAATCATTTAGATCAGCAGAAGGGAAATGATTTTCATAAAGAAAGTAGCAACAATGAAAGGATATATTCAAGATGAATATGGTTTGTTTGCGGGGGCCAGAAGGCATCTATTTTATTTTCCCACAGTGGAGAATGTCTTATAGAAATAATGCAAATAATGCTGAACTGGTGAAATGGAAGATTAGAGAAGACTGAAAGTCAGAGTATAAATTTGATACATTTTAACAAGAGAGGAATGGAATGAAAGTAATATTTAAGTGGCTTAGAAAGATTTTGTTTGTTTAATTGATAGACTTTATTATTTTATATCCATTTTAGGTTTACAGAAAGATTGAATGGAAAATACAAAGAGTTTCCACATAGTCCTCTCAATTGCATCCCCCACCCCACAGTTTCCCCTGTTATTATCTTGCATCAATGTTTTATATTTGTTATAATTGATGAACCGATATTGTTACATTATTATTATCTAAATCCTCCAGTTTACTTTAGAGTTCATGGTTTGTGTTGTACATTCTATGAATTTTGATGAATGTATAGTGACACGTATCTACCATTGCAGTATCATACAGAATAGTTTCACTGCCCTGAACATCCTCTGTGCTATACCTATTCATCCTTATTCCCCCAAGTCCCTGGCAACCTCTGATATTTTTACTGTCACCATAGTTTTACCTCTTCCAGAATGTCATATAGTTGGAATCATACAGTATGTAGCCTTTTTGGACTGGCTTCTTTTACTTAGTAATGTGAATTTAATGTTCCTCAATGTCTTTTCACAATTTGATGGCTCATATCTTTTTATTACTGAACGATATTCCATTGTATGGATATACCATAACTTGTTTATCCATGCACCTATCGAAGTAGATTTTGATTGCTTCCAAGTTTTGGTAATTATAAGTAAAGCTGCTATAAGCATTTGGGTGTCAGTTTTTGTGTTGACATAAGTTTTTAACTCATTTGGGTAAATACCAAGAAGCTCGATTGCTGGATCGTATGGTAAGAGTATGTTTAACTTTGTAAAAAACTGCCTAACTATTTTCCAAAGTGGCTGTACCATTATGCATTCTCACCAACAATGAATGAGAGTTCCTGATACCCCATATCCTTGTCAACATTTGGTGTTGTGTTTTAGATTTTAGATGTGTAGCAGAAGAAAATATTTGCATGTGATATATCCGATAAAGGTCTGATAACTAGAATCTATATAGGACTCAAGAAAATCACCAAGAAAAAAAAATCAAACAACCCTATCAAAAAGTGGGCAAAGGACATGAACAGAAACTTTTCAAAAGAAGATACAACACACATGAAAAAATGCTCAACCTCTCTAATCATGAGGGAAATGCAAATCAAAACCACAATGAGATATCACTTAACTCTAGTAAGAATGGCTTTTATCAAAAAGTCCCCAAACGATAAATGTTGGCATGGATGAGGAGAGATAGGAACACTCATACACTGCTAGTGGGACTGCAAACTAGTACAATCTCTATGGAAAGACCTCAAAAAGTTAAAAGTAGAACCACCATTTGATCCAGCAATCCCATTACTAGGCATCTACCCAAAGGAAAAAAAGACATTCTATAAAAAAGACATCTGTACTAGAATGTTTATAGCAGCACAGTTCACAATTGCAAAGATGTGGAAACAACCCAAGTGCCCATCAATACATGAATGGATTAATAAAATGTGGTATATGTATACCATGGAGTTCTACTCAGCCACAAAAGACAATGGTGATCTAGCACCTCTTGTATTTATCCTGGATAGAGCTAGAGACCATTTTACTAAGTGAAGTATCACAAGAATGGAAAAACAAGCACCACATGTATTCACCATCAAATTGGTATAAACTGAGCAACACTTACGTGCACATATACTAATAACATTCATCAGGTGTTAGGCAGGTAGGAGGGGGAGGAGAGGGGATGGGTATATTCACACCTGATGGGTGGAGTGCGCAACATCTGGGAGATGGACACACTGGAAGCTCTGACTCAGGTGGGGCAAAAGCAATATACGTAACCTAAACATTTGTACCCCCGTAATATGCTGAAATAAAATAAATAAATAAAATCCCTGAATATAAAATAAATAAATAAATAAAATAAGATAAATAACTCTTTTAATTAAGGCCTTTCTATGAGCCTTGGTTTGTTGGAGAAAAAAATTGTCAAAAACTACCCATTTTTGTGACGTGGACATCAGCAGGCCCTCTATAGTACACTTCCAGCCTTCTCTTTGTTAGCTAACGTTTACATTGCCTTGTTTGTCTAAATATGATTATAATATTTCAGGAGATGGATGAAGAACTTGTGTTCTATACTTTATATCATGCTGGATCCTTTAATAATTGGCAGATAAAAGCATTGCTTAAGAATGCTTAATGTATTTGTTTTCTGCTTTTTACAGGAGGAACTCTCTGGAATGAAAAATAGAGTACAAGTAGTTGTGCTTGAAAATGAAAGGCTCCAGCAACAGCTGAAATCTCAAATACAAGAGGAAACAATGAGGGAACAAACACTTCCGGATGCATCTGTAAGCATTTTTTAAAACCACCAATTTCATTTTAGCTGGAATGTTCCCTGCTTCCCTCTCCCCTAACCTTCTAAACCGATTAGATTTTTTTCCTTGAAGTCTGGCCAAAGTACTATGCTGGTATTTGCTTGAGGCCTCAAAAATCAAAACTCACTGTGGTGGAATGAATCCTCAAAGGAAATGATGTAGTGATGCCTAATATTTACTCTGGTTTCCTCTCTGAGCAACCCATGTGTGCTTTTTCCATATGGAAGGAGCAGATCTGAAAGCAGGAAGTGTGTTATATAGGAAGGACTTTGTTTAATCTAGAAACTGTTTAGAACCCTAGTTTAGTTTAGATTCCCATTGGGTTTCTCTAAATTTTCCTTGAGCTCTGAAATCTAGTAAGTCTAATTAGCAGCATGGTATAGCAGAAAGAAGGCTGGCCTGAGGGTCCAAGAATCAAAATGTTAATCTTTCCATTGTCCCTAAGAAGCTGGGTGTTTAGCAAGTAATTTCACAGGGCTTTGTGTGGCTTCACCCTGTGGATCCTCTATTTCTTCATTGGTAATTTCAAAGATTAACCTATATCAGGAGTTGACCATGCAAATTCCTGGGCTCTATTCCATGAGAGTCTGATTCAGTTAGTCTTGTTGGGTCCTAGGAATATGACTTTTTATCAAGTTGCCTAAGTGATCCTAATTATCAGTGGCTCACAGTTTGAAGAACAGTGGATCAGATGTTCTCTACAATTCTGTGACACAAAATCATTGTGGTGATATTTAAATTGTATTGAAACTTATTGTCTTCTTATGACTTCTCAGAGTACTTTTGCCTTAAAAATTTTTCATTCTTTTGCTGTAAGAGATAGTTAATCACAGCTTGTTCTGCTTTTTGAGACCAATTTAACTTTCCATGGGGAAGTTTTAAAACTTGCCTGTTACAGTTTTACTTTACAATTTACTTTGGTGGTTTTGCTGTAGTTGTTATAAGTAAATCAGTTGTTAAGAAAAAGTATGAGATTCTTGATGTTGAACTTAGGTATTCTCACATCTTTATTTTTGAAGTTTTTTTTTTACTTGACTTGATATTTTATTTGTAATCCTTGAGTTATATGTGTTAGAATTTGCTATTGAGAAGTATCTGGTTGTGTTAACTCTGAAAAAGAAAGTGGACTGAATAGCTCTTTAGTTTATAGTTCTGCAATTACATTTAAGATTATAATCAGTTATTTTCCCCTCACAAGATAACTTTTTTCTGAAGATTTATATAATTGTTAATATTAGTGGTTAAAAATTCTATCTTCATTGCTCATTATTTTAGTGTCAATTTGAAGAAGATATTACCATATAGAAAGTACTTAGAAGTACCTCATTTATAAGATAAATATGTTCTTTTGCTTTTCTTCCAAATATGTAGTAACTTAGCAAGTTGACTCAATTATTCATAGTCTTCAATATTTATATGATGGCAAAGAAGTGGAAGAAAGGGAAGTGAAGTGAGAAAGGAAATTAGGCAGACAAGTGATTCAGAGGGCAAGAGAAATGAGTAATGCAAAAGAGGAAGGAAATGATGGTAAAAGCACACATGTCTTCAGTAGGAGCAAAAAAGTTTGCTAAAGAAAACTAAAGTCATAGTAGAAAGGACAAGGTTATAGAGAGGTTTTGTTTTTTTTTAAACATTCACATGAGCTAAAATGTAATGCAAATATTGAAATTATTATTGTGGATGTGTCAGGTGACCTTGATATCTATTTTAATGTTGGTCTTCTGTTATTTGTTGTTACAGAATTGTTACCCCCGCTTTTTAACCTGTGTAGGTGAATTAAGGCATTTCAGCAATGCATGAATGGTACTGTATTGGGAGTTTTAATGTGAATAAAACTTTTTAGAATATCTTAAATATAAATAGATCAATAGATAGTATCTTCTTTTTTGGGAGGGGAGCTTTTTTAATCAGTCAATTAAAATGGTGATGCTAGATCTTGTCAAAACTATTTGCTAATTTGAATATAGATTTTTCAGTGCTTCATAATGCCTTCTTTTAAAAAAATAGTTGAAACAGTTAAATGGTAATAACTAGCATTTACTGATGACTACATGGTTATAAAGTGCCAGGCACTGTGTCAAGCACTTCATTTCTCTTATATTATTTCAGTTTTACAATACCCACATAAGGCAGGTATTATTATCTCTGGTTTTGGAAAAATAAATTAAGGTACACACAGTTAAGTAACCTAAATAGCTGGTCTATTGTCACAGAGCTAGAAAATGGCAAAGCAAGGACTCAAACCCAAGATTAACTCCCCAAATCCATCCACCTAACTTTAAATTATACTGCCTTTCTGCATAAGTTAGAAAGAGCTTGTCAATATTGAACTAAACCATCTTTGTTTGCAGGGGATAGAAGTTTTCCCCAGCAGAAAAGAGAACATCCTTTTCGTTGTCTCTCACTTTTAGCCCTGGACTTGAATGGTAGCCTGCATGCAAGACTTTCAGCTTTTGGCCTAGTTTATGACCTAGAAGTTGAAGAAGCAAGCAGATGATTTTTTAAGGACTAAAACCATTCAAAGTATATTTCACTTCTGTCTTCATTTTTTATCACTTTTCCTTCTTTTAAAATTTCTCTTCATGGAAAACTTTTCTCTAGAGTTCAAAAAATTATGATAGTATTAAAACATGTTCTTTATTAGAAATTTTGGCCTATGTACTCATTTTAGTTATCTAGGAGTTTTTTTCAAGGAGAGACACATGTCTTTCCCTGTTTGTTCCTATCCCCTCTATCAACCTTTCCTTCAACAAAGAGAGCAAAGGTTTTGAATGATCTTCAGGGACTTAGATTTTTTTTTAAATCCTGGTTAAATACCATTCAAGTTGTGTTTGTGTGTTTGTTTGAGACAGAGTCTCACTCTGTCACCTAGGCTAGAGTGCAGTGGCATCATCATAGCTCACTGCAACCTCAAACTCCTGGGCTCAAGCAATACTCCTGTCTCTCAGCCTCTTGAGTAGCTGGGACTACAGGTGCGTGCCACAACGCCCAGCCTAATTTTCTTCTATTTTTAGTAGAGATGGGGTCTCACTCTTGCTTGAGCTGGTCTTAAACTCCTAGGCTCAAGGACTCGGCTTCCCAGAGTGCTAGGATTACAGGCGTGAGCCACTGTACCTAGCCACCATTCAAGTTTTTTAAAGCTATCTGAAAAAGCAAAGTATCCATTAAAGTAGCATTTCTTTCCAAAGAATGATATATCAGAGATCTGTGGTCTGAATGCTTTCTCTAAATTCTCAATAGGAATTTAGTACCACCCTGCTTCACTGATCTCAAAAGTAACTTTAAATGCAATCAGATATTGGGAGACTTGGCCCTACCTAGAGAATCAAGTACAAGTTCATTAGCGTGGCATGCTATACTTTCAAGCCTCTTATTTGATTCTCTAGCTTTATCTTCTGACACGCATTGCCTTGTACTTTCACCTCTAGTAATGTTGAATTGCCTAAGATCCCACCACAGGCACTATGCTATTAATATTTCACACCTCTGTGACTTTTCCCATGAGGTTCCCTCTTCCTAGAATCCCTTTCCCATCTAGGTAACCCTTATTCATCCTTCAGGATATCACACAAGTGTCAAAACTTCTCCAGAAAACCTTCCTCAAATTTCTGGTTGCTGTTAGTATCCCTCCTCTATTCCGGCACAGTCCCCCATGCACTCCTCTGGCCTAACACTTACCTTATTAAATTGAAATTATTTGCCTAGATGTGTTTCTCCATCATTAGACTGTAAATTCCTTGGAACTATGGTTGATTTTGCTATTTTTGTCCTCCAAGTTTTCAGCACAGTGTCTGAACATGGTAGGTGCTACACAAATATTTGCACTAAACTGGACTTCCAGAAGAATATGAGATAGCATCTTGGAATACTACTTTGAATTAATGTATGACACTGAGATGTAGTTCTGTGTTTGGAGACCTGTCCTCTCTTATGAGTACTACCATATCCTTTGGCCCTTAGCAAGAGCTCAACAATTATTTGTTAAATTAAATCAATATAAGTATTACCCAGATCTTTGGGCTGCTTATTACCTTGACTGTTGAGAGGGAGACAGAGGTCACGAAATGACAATGGGTACACGAAATTCAACCCACAGACATGTTTGATTTGTTTGATAACTTTTGAGCCAATATTTAACAATATTTCAAATGAAGAACAAGATATCTGGCTTATCTTTTTTTAAAAAATCAAAAGATTTTCTAGTAATATGAATTTTTATTCGCACAGGACAGTGATTGACTAGAACTGAGTAGTGGCTGCTTCCTTTGGATGGGACACATTTCTATGGTTTGTCATGGTCCCTACCATTCTTTCTTGAATCCCTGACATGCAGGTTGCATGTCAGCTCTGTTTGTCACCACATATGCACTGTTTTTCTTATTGAAGATAAATATTTTCCTGGAAAAACAGAAGAGCATAATGGTATAGAGCATTAAAGAAAAAAAAAAAAAACTATTGTCTTTTCTCTACCCATAACACTTCTGACACTAAATATTTGGGATTTTTTCCCCTACACCAAGCCACTCTCTGTTTCTCTGTGGATGCCAACTGGGTGTCCAGTGATTCAACTCAATTCTGACACTAGCTCCCCAGAGTTAGTATCAGACCCACAGATTAAGGGCTCAGTCCCACAAGACTGCCCCCACTTCAGATATCAATCCCAAGTAGTGGGTCTCCAGGTTACCCACAATTCTATCTGTCTTGGCTACAAATTGGGGGTTCCCACAACTCCTTTCTCATATTTGATAATTTGTTAAAATGGCTCACAAAATTCAGGGAAGTACTTTACTTGCTATTACCAGTTTATTATAAAGGATATTATACAAGATACAAATGAACAGCCAAATAAATGAAGAGGTACATAGGGCAAGGTCCAGGATGGTCCCAAGTATAGGAGCTTCTGTTTGTGGAGTTGGGTTGTACCACCCTCCTGGCATGGGGATGCATTCACCAACCCAGGAATTCTCTGAACTCCATCAGAAAGGACTTTCGTGGAGGCTCCACTACATAGGCACGATTGATTAAATCATTGGCAATTGGTGATTGTCAATCTCTAGTCCTTCTCCCCTCCCTGGAGGTTGGGGCTAAAAGTTCCAGTCCTGTAATCATGCCTTCGTCTTTCTGGTGACCAGCTCCCATCCAGAAGCTGTCTAGGGACCCCTGCCACCAGTCATCTTATTAGCATAAAAAAGATAGTCTTATCAATGCAGAGAATCGAAGGGTCTCAGAAGTCAGGAACCAGGGACTAAGACCAAACATAACAAAAGATGTTCCCACAACCCCTGTCACTCAGGAAATTATAAGAGTTATGGGAGCTCTGTATCAGGAACTGGGGGCAGAGACCAAATATATGTTTCTTATTATTTCATAGGCATGGATTCCGAAGCCAGATTGCCAGGGTTCAAATCCTAGTTCTGCCACTTATTAGCTACTTCCTACCTCTGTGATCCTTAGCTAGTTACTCTATGTGACTCAGTTTCCTTATGTATAAAATGGAGACAACAATGGAACCTAACTCATAGAATTGTAAGGATTAAATGACTTAATATATGTGAAGCACAAATAAAACAGTGTCTGGCACATAGCACTACATGTGTTAACAGTTATTATTATTAGCCATGCCTCTGTGAAATGTAGAAAATGAAAGACAAACTAAGGGATGGCTACGTGGTTTCAAGAGTGTATCTCTTTAGAGGAGTAAGGGATAATGCCTTTAATACACCGACATCCAACCCTCTTTGCACATATTTAAATTATTGCCTGTACTTGTAGGAATTTGATTTTATAGCACCAATTGTAGAATATGACTCTAATAGTCTCAAAATATAAAATGATTTTTGACTTACAGTTTAGAAGCATATTTTTTTTTCCATCATGGGTAAGAATCAGTATTCTATTTGTAAAGTATGCATGTTTATTTAAAGTTGAATATCAATTGCAATTACTGGCACATTTTGTTTTAGGGAAACATGCAGAATTCTTGGATTTTAACAGCTGAAGATTCTGAAGTGGAGGAAGCTGCCAAGAAACCATTTTCCCACGGCAATGCAGATATTGGCAAAGATGTATCTGCTGGTGAAGCTGAAAAATGGAAGCTAGAACTGGTGAGTATTTGGTTACTTTTATGCATCTTTTTTCTTTTCTATACCTTTTAAAAATTCTGGTAAAATGTACATAACCTAAAATTTACCATTTTAACCATTTTTAAGTATAAAATTAAGTACATTCATAATGTTGTACAATCATCAACACTATCCATTTTCAGAACTTTTTCATCAACCCAGACAAAAACTCTGTGCCCATTAAACAATAATTTTCCATTCCCCTTTCCCTCCAACCTCTGGAAACCTCTATTCTACTTTTTGTCTCTATGAATTTACCTATTTTAGGTACCTCACGTAAGTGGAATTAAACAATATTTGGTTTTTGTATCTGGCTTATTTCACTTAGCATAATGTTTTCAAGGTTCATCCAAGTTGTGGCATGTATCAGAATTTCATTTCTTTTTAAGGCTGAAAATAATATTTTATGTATATACCATACATTGTTTATGCATTCATCTGTTGATGGATATGTGCATTATTCCCACCTTTTGGCAATTATACTATGAATATTGGTGTGCAAGTATCTGTTTGAGTCCCTACTTTCAATTCTTTTGAGTATATACCCAGAAATGGACTTGTTGGGCCATACGGTAATTTTTCATTCTTTTTTCTTTCTGCTCCTCGGACTTGATGATTTCAATTGTCCTATCTCCAAGTTCACTGATTCTTCGTTCTGCCTGCTCAAATCTGCTCTTGAACCCCTCTAGTAAATTTTTTATTTCTGTGTTGTACTTTTCTGCTTCAGAATTTCTGTTTGGTCCCCTTTATAATTTGTTTTCCTGATTTCCTTTAGTTCTTTGTCTGTTTTTCTCTTCACTCTTCGACAGTATTTAAGACTGTGGGTTTTTTTGTTTTGTTTTTCAATTTATTTTATTTTATTTTTTATTTTTTGTGAAAGGGTCTCACTGTCTTGCCTGGGCTAGAGAGCAGAGGTGTCATCATAGCTCACTGCAACCTCAAACTCCTGGGCTCAAGTGATCCTCCTGCCTTAGCCTCTCAAGTAGCTGAGACTACAGGCACATGCCACTGTGCCCAGCTAAGTTTTTACTGTTTTTTGTAGAGACAGGGGTCTCACCATGTTGCTCAGGTTGGTCTTAAGCTCCTGGCCTCAAGCGATCCTCCTGCTAGGGCTTCCAGAGTGCTAAGAATACAGGCGTGGGCCACTTCATCTGGCCAAGACAGTTGATTTAAAGTCTTTGCCTAGGAGAGGGTGAAATGCTTTATATAGGAATGGATTTTAGAGTTTCTGGGTACTGAAGAAATAGGGCCCTTTTGCCTGCAGGCCCAGGCAATTGAAACCATGGAGCCCCGCCAGACCCAGGACCTACCACTGAATAAATCCAGTCCAAAGTGCGGCAACTCACTGGTTTCTTGGGGTCACAGCAGCCGCTGGGATCTCCACTGTCTCATGAGGAGGGTGAAGTGCCCCTGCCTGCTCCTGCTTCTGAGGGTAGGCGGAGAAGTTACTGGGTGTACCTTCGCTGTCCTGCTGCCACCGACCTAGCTTTTTGGGCTTTCGGGAGCTTGTGACAAGGCCCCAGCAGCGCCTGCTCCGGCATCCTCTGAAATAATAGCATTAGCCGCCGAATTTAAAATGGACAGTTTTTCATTTAAAGCTGGCACTAGCAAATTGCAACAGACAGTACCAGCTAATGTATCTTCTGATTCCAAGTGTCCTATATGCTTGAATGGATCTGATAATGTGTCTTACTTAGAACAGTGCTTACATAAGTTGTTTTCACCGTGTACAGGAATGATCAAAAAAGTAAAGCTGAATTTCCGCTATGTAAACAGCCTTTTGATTCTATGATTTGTGAGGGCAATAGATGACTTCAAGGAGTATGTCCTAAGGCTTTCATATAATGGTTCTTTTACCACCCATGATGTTTGACAATTTTGCTACCCTACAACTATGACAAGGGAATGGAATGCTTCTCATTATTCACCTAGCAGTACTATGAATGGAAGACCAACAACTCCACCAGATTATGGAGAACTGTTTGAAGGGTTAGGCATTTCAACAAGACCTAGAGATGTTGAAAATCCTCAGTTTATGAGACAGATTGCAATAAGGAGGCCAACTACTGCAGATGAAAGATCTTTGCAGAAAATTCAAGAACAAGGTATTATCAATTTTAGATGAATTCTCTATCGTGCTGGTGCTCGAGTTAGAAATATTGAAGATGGTGGCCACTATGGGGATATTTCAGCTGAATTTTTCCATAGAAATCCAGCTTACCTTCACAGGTTAGTCCCCTGGTTAAAATGTGAACTTACAGTTCTTTTTGGAGATTATGAATCTTTGGTGAATATCATCCAGCACATTATCATGAGTAATATTACTCACTATGATTTCAAGAGTCAGGCATTTGTGTCTGATTTAAGACCATTTTTACTTAATCAAACTGAGCATTTTCTACATAAATTTATCAGTTTTGCTGGATCTCCATTTAACATGGCAGCCTTTGGCCAGCATGCTGATTATGATTGCCCTGCCCTTTCATATGAAGAAGGCAGCCATTCTGATTCTTCAGTCATGACAATATCTCCTGATGAGGTTGAGACCCAAGAACTGGATATTAATGTAGCCACTGTTAGTCAGGTACCATGGCATGGTGAAACTCCAGGACCATCTTACTCAAGCTCAGAGCAGGTACATGTTGCTATGTCTTCCTTTTTAAATACTTCCAACAGTTCATATGAAGAACTTGTCACAGAGGGAGCCATGTTTCAGATACAAAGAGTACAAACCAATAAGGACTTAAATAAAGACAGTGATTCTTCTTCAGAAAATTGTGTCATTGTTTGGTTTGTTAAACCACCAGCTGAGAGGACCCCAGAACTTGTTGAACTGTCCTCTGATTCTGAGGAGTTAGGCACTTGTGAGAAAATGGAGATAATAAAGACAGAAGAACAAGACCAATCTTACAGTTCTGGTGATAGTGATGTTAGTAGATGTTCATCTCCATGCTCTGTCCTTCGAAAGGGTGAGCAAATAAATAAAGGTCATTGTGATTCTGGTACAAGAATCAAATCAAAGAAGGAAGAGAAATGATCCACATCATTATCATCTCCCAGAGACCTGAGCTCATCTATGAGAGCAGACAGAGTATATTCTCCATATAGCCAAAGACACAGGAAGAGGGGAGGATCAAGAAGTTCAGATTCGCATTCCCAGAGTAGAGTGGGTGCAATCAGAAAAATCACAGGAAACATCATGGGAGGAAAAGAATGAAAAGCAAAAGATCTAGAAGCAGGGAGAGTAGCAGACCTAGAGGGGGAAGAGACAAAAAGAGATCAGGAACTAGAGAGAGCAGTTGGTCAAGAAGAAGCCACATTTTAAGTAGTGAAAGCACAAGCATATCAAGGTCTTGTAGCAGTGATCATGGTAAAAGAAGATCATGGAGCAGAATAGAGATTGTTATTATTTAATAATTATGGAAGAAGACATAAGTGGGAGTATACTTATCATAGTAGAAACAAGGACAGGGAATAGCTGTGAATCATCTTACAGGAGGAGGACTCTGTCCAGAGCTCCTTCAAGTCCAGACAATCTTCAAGTCCAGAATTTAGAATTTAGTCCTTTTTTGAAAGAGCAAATGCTAGGGAAAAAATAATCACAGTGAAAGGAAATATTACTATTATGAAAGGCACAGATCAAGGAGCCTGTCTGATAACATATCAAGGACTACATCTACAAGGCTGGAACAGGTGAGAAATGAAAGGCCTGGAGGGAAAGGAAAACACAAAACAGCATTTGGAGGGTACTAATGAAGTGGCTCAACCATCTCAAGAATTTACTTCTATAGTAAAAGACAGTCATTACCAAAAATCTTCATCGAAACTGGATGGAAACTACAAAAAGTGAGAGTGATAGCTTTTCAGACACCAGATAGATCATCAGAGAGATGAAACACAATAGGAGAAAAAGGAGGACCCGGAGCCTGAGTGTAGAGATAGTTTATAAAGGAAAAGCTACCAATATAACCAAACATCATAAAAAGGAAAAGAAGAAACACGAAAAGAAGCATGAGAAACACCATGGAGATAATACTGCACTTTCCCCAGTTGTAGTTACCATTGACAATGATCGTGACAAGGATTCTAAAGTAAAAGAAGATGCAGAATAAGACAATAATGAACCTCAAGAGCCTCCATAAAATGAATTTTTGGCTCCTTCCTTAGAACCGTTTGAAACTAAAGATGTAGTTACAACGGAAGATGAATTTGGTGTCCTGGACTAGGAGTGTGATATTACCACACTTACTAGCAACCTGAATAATGCCAACAAAACTGTAGATAATATTCCGCCCCCAGAAGCTTCAGCTGAACAAAGTCTTGATATAGGAGAAGAGAGCACCTTTGCCTCTGATTTGGCGAACCAGCCCAGTAATGTTGGGAGCCGTCAAGGCAATTGTCATCACCATGGACATCACTAATGTCAGTGTCTCTTGGTAGAGACTGTGACATGTCTTAAAACTACCAAAGCATCTCACTGAGAATTCTGATGGTATAAAAAGAAAAAAAAGGAACAAGGTCATCTACTATAGTCTATTTAAATATTGGTTTTGGTGAAAACTCTTTTCCCCTTAAGATATTTTAGGCAAATTTTTCTGTGTTAATTTGTAAAAATCATTATTTTTTCAAAAAGTATGTAGTCTCACCCTTAGAGATATGTACTTTTAAGGGAAGAAAATGATATTGCTAGCAGTTTATTTAAAACTTGGAATCCTTTTTAAATTACAAAAATAGATTTTAGAAGTTATTTCATAAACCTAGATGGTATCAACATATTTTTAAGGTAATTAATGAGTATTTTTTAATTTTTGCGGGGGAGAATTTTTTAAGAGTTATTCTGGAAATATGTTATAAGCTAGGAGAATCCCTTTGGACAGTCTTTATTTTTCTTCTTAAAAATTTGTATGATTCAAAACCATTTCTTCAGGTTAACCTGCACAGTATATCTTGACTTCTGCCAAAATAAAAATTTAATATTTCCT